GAATCTTTAAAAGCGGGAATCTTTAAAAGCGGGAATCTTTAAAACGGGGAATCTTTAAAAGCGGGAATCTTTTAAACGGGGAATCTTTAAAACCGGGAATCTTTAATAGCGGGAATCTTTAAAACGGAGAATCTTTAAAACGGAGAATCTTTAAAAGCTGGAATCTCTAGAACGGGAATCTTTTAAAGCGGGAATCTTTAAAAAGGGGAATCTTTAAAAGTGGGAATCTCTAAAAGCGGGAATCTTAAAAACGGGGAATCTTTAAAAGCGGGAATCTCTAAAAGCGGGAATCTTTAAAAGCGGAATCTTTAAAAGCGGGAATCTTTAAAACAGGGAATCTTTAAAAGCGGGAATCTTTAATACGAGGAATCTCTAAAAGCGGAAGTCTTTAAAAACGAACATTTTTTTTTTCGGTGGATGGCAGTGGCACTCGATTATTATTATATTTTTATTAGCCTGAATGAGAAGTCAGCCATCAGCCCTATAAACAATTTTGACTGAATACTCCGATCTACATCGTTTTTCGGTCTTATCCTCAGGGTTCAAATAACAGCCAACTGCGGGCGGCAGCCGGAACTTTTAACACACTTGCTGGCAATTTTTCACCGAAAAACTAAAATTTTTATGGAAAATATTTTGCTTATTGATTGTCCAACTGAAGTAAAAGTCGCTGTCCTGTTATTAAACAAGTTAAAGTTTCGAAATTTGATAATCAGCTTTTTACGTATTTGTTCAAGCGTGAAACATGCAAGTTTGTGTACACACCATCACATTACCGTGTTCAAGTTTCTGCAGGTACATACATAAATCGAGATTTATTCTCCGCCAAATCCTGTTCAATTTCGTTTGTATAGCCTTCTCACGCTACGGATTTCCCATGACTGTAAATGAAGAAGCACGACAGTTTGTCTAGACAAAGTCGAATATTCCACGCTTGAACAAACACCGAAAAATTGAGCCCTTCACTACGCCTTGTTATTAGATAGGGAATTGCCTCAACGAAACTTGTTAATCTAAATGATGCTAGAATTATTTTACTATTTTAATCATGCTGAGTGTTAAAAACATGTGCTGAGTGCCCTTCCATTACTGCTTAGTTTTACTTGTGTCAGCAGTCGTGAATTTTGATGGATTCACTGGCTTAAAATTGAAAAAAACCATCAACTTTTCTACACACCACTCCTTCATTTGGTCCATTTCATTTCACGCTTCTAAAGATTCCTCATTTTAAAGATTCATTGTTTTAAAGATTCCGCTTTTAAAGATTCCACGATTCAAAGATTCCCACTTTTAAAGATTCCACGTTTTAAAGATTCCCGCTTTAAAGATTAACGATTTTAAAGATTCCCGCTTTTAAAGATTCCCCATTTTAAAGATTCCCGCTTTTAGAGATTCCCGCTTTTAAAGATTCCCGCTTTTAAAGATTCCCGCTTTTAAAGATTCCCGCTTTTAAAGATTCCCCATTTTAAAGATTTCGCATTCCCCATTCCCCATTCCCTATTTTAAAGATAGCCATTGAATGTCAATAAAAGTTGCGGCCCCGATGACATTCATCCAAGGATTTTGAATCATTGTAGTAACTCACGAGCCTCGCCCTTGTATGCTCTGTTTAATACTTCATTTAATAGTGATGTAATTCCCGATGACTGGAAAACAGCAAATGTTATTCCGCTTTACAAGAAAGGAGCCGAAGACAAAGTAGAAAACTACAGACCTGTTTCCCTAACCTCAAGTGCAAGTAAAATCCGCGAGAAAATTGTCAGAAAGTCGATTGTAAACTTCTCGACAGATCATCGAGTCTTAATAGGCGAGCAATTTGGTTTCATGAAAAAGCATTCTTGTCTATCGTAATTGCTCGATACTTTCCATTCATGGGCCAAAGCAAGAAATGACTCACAAAGTAGATGTAATTCTACTAGATTTTACAAAGGCATTCGACTCTGTTCCTCATCAGCGTCTCCTGGCGAAGATGAAGAGATATGGAATTGGTGGAAACCTCCTTAACTGGCTATCCCACTTTATCGTTGGTAGGAAACAAAMAGTCTCATTCAGTGGGCACCTTTCTCCTTGGACGATAGTCTCCTCTGGTGTTCCCCAAGGTAGTGTACTTGGGCCAGTCCTTTTCCTTGCTTATATCAACGACGTTACAACCGGTGTAAAGTCAAGCATGCGCCTGTTTGCAGATGACAGCAAGGTCTACAGGATCATTTACGATGAAAACGATGAGAAACAACTCCAATGTGACCTCAACACGCGACAAAAATGGAGCGAAAATTGACAACTTAGTTTTCACCCTGACAAATGTGAGGTCCTACGTGCTACCCCTGCGAGAGATGACACCAGCTATCCTTACGAGCTATTTGGTTGTAGGCTTCAGTGTGTCACCGAAACGGTCGATTTGGGGGTCTCAT